GAGTGGCAGACTGAGAAACGACCCTGCCGCCGCGATCATCCTGCAAAGACTTTGGTACTGGAACATACCTGTGATTCCCCAGACAGTGACCACCCTACAAAGCTCAGGCTGAACGAAAGGAGATCACTGGCAATATAGTATAGTGTACAATTTCGCAGTATAGTATATTGTTTGTTTTTGTATAAGTACAGTATCGTATAGTCTTTGTTAACAAGCGGCCAGGAAAGAGGAATCGTCAAGCTTCCAGCTTAAAATTCACAGGCTCGACTCCAAGCTGTCGAGTTCAAGCGTGAGGCCCCGCTTCTTCAGCTGAAGCACCGTGGCGTTGATCGTTGCCGCCATCCGCTGGGGTCCGCATACCTTCACCTGCCAGCTTCTGAGTTAGGCTGCGGGTCCCGACACGCCGGAGCAGACCAGGCACAACCCAAAAAGCGCGGCTACGACCAAAAAAAGCCTTATAGAAGCTTCCCCACCTCCAGCGGCCCCAGCTCTGCTTGCTGCTCCACCAGCTGCTGCAAGTCCGGCTTCGCATGCTGGATGCAAAGATTCGGCTCCGGACCCTCGGCTCCCCTCTCCTCCGGCATGCGACCCCAGCGTGCTTTGGAAGAGAGCCGCTGGAGCGTGAACTTCAGGAGCGTGACGGCCAGAAGGACCAGCAACACCAGAAGCAGAGGCACACAGCGCACAAGGGAGGCCCAGGCGAGAAGACTGTGGACTCTGGGCCGGACCCAGGTGCTCCAGTTGTGCACCAGAAAGTCCGCGGCTACGGCACCCAGCGTAATACACACAAAAGACAGAATCAGCACCCTGTGCCTGCACATCTCGCTAGCACTTGCGGCGGCTTGGACTTCGGAGTTGGAGCCCATCTTGTGGTCGACCATTCCGCTGGGCGACTCCGCCTCTCCGGAGGTGACAAAGACGGAGACCTCAGCCCGCTCGCAGAGTCGCCGCCAGTCGATCGCCCCAGAGATGCCGCCGAACTCATCGCCACGAACGGCCCAAACCAGGTGGACCTGCTGCCATCCGGCCTCCTCCAGCCACTGGAGCCCAGAAAGGAGGTCGATGAAGGGGGAGATGCCCACACCGCCTCGGGCATTCTGGGAGTTTAGGCCTGGGATTTCCTGAGGTTCAAACCTGCGAAAGCCCTGGTGCAGTGTCAGCCCGAAACGCTCCCACCTGCAACGAGCAGGAGGTTTCGCGGCGGCGAAGCGCTGTTTTGGGCCATGGGCTTGCCATAGGGACCCTCGATTCGAAGCTTCAAAGCCTCCTGGGACACCTGTTTGCAGAGGGACTCGGACCAGTCACCCACGCCCTTGAGGAGGACCTGCGCACGATGCCCGTTCTGGATCACCGAGTATGGATGCCACTGCATTCTGGAGACACCCCTCTCGTGAAGATAGACCCAACGTGTGCCGGGCATGAACTTGACTTCCGGCGCAGTGTTCCACGTCAAGAGGATGACGTTTGAAGTGCCAGTTCGGCACAGAACTTCTGCTGTCACATCAGAAAGTTCCTTGCGGGTGAGGGAAGCAACGATCCGATCTTTCATGTAGAATGCCAGGCCAGGAAACATCAGAATCACCATTGGAAAATCATGGAGCCCACAGAAAAGAATAAACAAAAACGAGAGCACCACATGGGTGAAGTAGAAAAGGTTGTAGGCACTGCGCCGTACTTGCTCTCGCGAGAGGATCGCTAAAATGCTCACTGCAAAAGTTGCAACTACACCAAAGCCGTTCACCAGGCCAAGTGTGTTCCAACAGTATGGATCCTCTGGATCCTTGCAAGAAAGTGCTACTGGAATGGTTGCCTCCAAAAGTTCATGCCATCCACCTCTCTGTAAGTAGAAGGCCACGAAGGCAAGGGAATGTAGAAGACTCATGACAAGAACCCACCATCCAGCCAGCCTGTGGAATGCAATCGTCTCCGTGTAGTCCAAGCTGTGCCACTCTGACAACACCGAGCGCCTGGAGATCACAAGCAGCATGACGGCCAAATAGACGGCTGCTGCCCGCCCTGTGACAACGCCAATGAACTCCATGGATTCGATAAAGGTCGTGTTGAATGTTATGCTGCTCGACAGCAAAGGCTTGAGGAGACAGATGGCCAGTGTGGCGACGCCGATGCTGTGTAGCAAGGCATTCCACCGAAAAGCCGAGACTTGCAACATGGAGTTGGGAAGCAAGACTATGCAAAGCACGAGGCACAAGACCAGGCTCAAAGTGGGAAGCTCCACTGGCAGGCCTTCAAGCCGTTGACATGCAAACAGTGCCATGGTGTAGTAATCAATCTCGCCCACGAGCCTGCAAGGAGCCCCCACATAGGAAACTATCAAAATCCACCAGGCAACCGTGAGGACAATGAACCGTTTCATCGTGGAGCACGGATTCCTCTGCACAGGCTGAGCCAAAACTCACCGGACGTTCGACGGACGCTAAGCCAGAAAAGCACTCATTGCAGCTCTTGGGAGCATGGATGCAAGGTTGAGGATCTTCTTTACAGCGGCAAGATCCTACACAGTAAACCCTAAACCCTAAACCGTGGAGGAACCACCAGATGTGTCCGAACACCTCGACCGAGGAGGCTTTTCTACGATGCAGCTTCAAGTTCTAAGTTACCGGCAGTTGGGCCCCAAACCTTGAACCCTGAGATCTGAGCCTAAGAATGGACTGGGGCTGAAGGGTCTCTTGTAGCTACATTCGAAGCCTTCAAAACCCCGAAGGACCCTTAAGAACTTCTAGTACACTTACATTAAGGAACTCTGAATTTCCAAACCAAGACCCAGACCCCCAAACGAGGCCCTCATCGTAACCCTTCTGTGATACAATGCCCCTTATATAATATCGTAAGTCGTAAGCCTACTGTATTATAGAATCCCTTGTATCATCGTTTAGCAAACGAGGCCGCAGCCTCGGTGGAGAACTCGCGAGCACACACAGAGGCGCCGCGGACATCGTTAGATGGGTTTAGGGTTTAGGCGTTCCAGGTTCCGGGTTTAAGGTTTCTTAGGTTTCGCTTTTCTAGGCTTAGGGTGCAGCCGGGCAGATGCGACTGCTGAAGACGAATGTGGCGGCTTTCGAGAACTTACCATTCCGGGCTCGGTGTTGCACAGACCTTGTTGAGACGGCGTGAATAAATAGCATGACGCCTCGAAGCATCAAACATGCTCGCGTTGCGATGCGACCCCACAAGTCAGAATCATCTGTATACTCGAAGAGCAAGCGCTGCTTGCGAGCTTCCACAATCTTACTCATGGCGGTATCTCAGAAGTTCAAAGGGACAGGGTGGCCAAAGCTATGAATCCCGAAACACTCAACCCTATCCGCCCCAAAACCTAAAACCGACACCCCAAACTCCTTAAGAAGCGATTTAGGGTCTAGGGATTTGGGTATTCCCAAACTTTGTCCCACAACCCCAGCTCTCCGTGCATGACCGAATCTGGCAAATCTTGCTCTGCGACTCTGAAGGCTGATCCCTGGAAGCTTTTGCTTCGAACTGCTACAAACACAGCCAGCTTCTGCCGCCTGCCCACGAGTGGGCCTTAACAATTAGAATAGGATTTTTTGGTATATTCCACTACAACTTTTTGTAAGGGACCCCCAAAACCATATTCTAATTATTAAGGCTGCAAGCCGCCAAGTCTCGAAGCTGAGTGAACTTCCTAAGTATCGATGCAAGGAGTCGAAGGACACAAAGCAAGATTCGGCTTCCGAAGTCGCTAGCAGGCTGTGGCATATATAGTATAGTATATTGTAGACGAGTACATCATAGTATAGTAGTTTCTACAGTACATTATAATATAGAATAGTATAGTACATGATTGCGAGATCTTGTGAGCGAAGGCTCTGCATCCCTGGCCGCGCGAAGAACGGGCGAGATGCCTCGAAGAAGCAACTTCAGCCCAGCTGTACAGGCGCAGCAGACCTTACACGTAGCAGTTGCTCCTACAATGAGGGTTCCTGGTAGAGCACCTACCTTTCCTAGCAAGATTTACAGAAAATACCTCACATCAACAGGAATCCCCGAATCCAGGAGAACTCCGAAGGCGGTCTGTACAGTTGGGGCCACGATGAAGCCCATGGGGGCAGCCCCGGTCTCAGGTCTCATCGCTGCCTGCCGGGCTCTGCACCCCAGGCTCTCCCAGCAAGCTGCTCTTAATAAGCTCAAACCCTAAACCCCAAACTCCTAAACCCTAAACCTGGTTTGGGGTTGCTCTTGGGTCTAGGGCTTAGGGTTTAGGGCTTAGGCTTTGGGGTAGCTCCTGGGTCCCAAGACTGAAGATCCTACGACCTTCCCAGCCGCCGGAGCCGAATTTACGACTGCTGTTCCATGGGCTCTTGGGATATCTGTCGCGAGGGCGTAAGCATCAGCTTGGAAAGTTTGGGTGATATAAGGGCCTTAATCATTACCTATAGTATTTTGGGGCCTCCGTATTATAACTATACCATAAAGTTAGAAGGATCAAGGCTCTTCAAGAAACGCAAATCAAGACTCAGTCCATCCCTGCCGCAGCACATCTCAGATGGGTAGAGTTAGCCCAACACTGATAGTCACCGACAGTATTGGCGATTTGAAATCTGCACGAACGGTCCAACCGCTTATCGAAAAGGCCTCCAGCCCTTGCCTTTGCCCTTGCTCTTCCCTCCTTTCTGGCCGCCCTTCTCGTTCCCGTCCCGGTCGATCCAGTATCCACCCATAGCGTTCCAAAAGCGCTCGTGGTCCTTGTGCTGTCACTTCAGAAGGAACGATGGATCCCTGCACCAGTTCTCTCATGATTCTTCCTGTTCCCTAAACCCTGAACCCCTAAACCCCTAAGCCCTAGACCTTGAACCCTAAACCCTTTTTGGCTTTGGCGTTTAGGGCATAGGATTTTGGGCCGGTCTTTGCGGCTTGGCGTTCTGAGGTCGTCATCTTCTGATCCATACCCACACTTTGCCAGGCACCAGTCCCAAACCCTAACAGCCATATACACTACACCCTAAACCCGAGGCCGAAAACCCCTAAACCCTACACCCGAGGCCCGAAAACCGCATACCCTGTACCCTAAGCCCTAAGCACCAGCAATTTGGGTCCTCAGTGCCAGCCGTTGCAGGCGGATCGATAGACACCAAGCAATCCGGAGCTCCTCTCTGGGGTCAAAAGGGGACCTTGCAAAATCCTAGAGTTGCGGTGTGTTGGACATCTCGTCTTCAAGACTACCTCCTGAACTTCCTCAAGCTCAAAGAACAGATGGCCTTCCGCTTGTCGCAAGGATTCCCTGTCGGGTACCCTAAACCCTAAACCCTAAACCCTAAAATGACAAAAAGGGCCTGACAGGTTCTCTCGGAGGTCGCCGGCTCCTGGTGCATAGAAGAAGCCCTGGCTCAGACGGACATAGCCAGGGCGAAGGCGGCAGGCCTTGGCAGAAAACCCAGGAATGGAAGAGGCACTGTCTGCCCCAAGCCCCAAACCCTAAGGGTTTAGGATTTAGGGTTTAGGGTTTACGGCCCTAAACCCTTCGCCGACTATGAAGTTTCAGGTTGAAGTTGGGGTTGTGAGGCTTCGGGCTTGGTTCTATAATCTTGGTTTGGGGTTTCGGGCTCAGTGTTTGGCCAAGAGCTACGTGCCGAGACAGGTCATTGTGAAGTAAAATCTCACGGAGGAAGCCAAGCTCCAAAAGGAATCAAAACCAAACCCTCGTCCCTCTACACCCTGATACACCCTAAGTAAGCAATAAAGCCCCAAACCCCCTGACACCAAAAGCCCCTAGCCCTAGCACCCCCCAAAAAAGGCCCGGATCCCCAGCAGCTTGCTTCGTAAGTCAGTCGCTACAGCCCCCTGATTTTGCACCCTAGACTACAAAAAAACAAAACCTCTCTCAGACCCTACGAAGTCTTTCTTGAGACCTGAGCGGCTGCGTCGCGCCAGGAGCCCTGGGGGTAGCCGACTTCTGCAGGGCCACCTGCGGCCACGACCTCTGCCAGGCAGCGACCGGAGAGCGCGGAGCCTTTGGCAATTGCTTGCGCAAGTTTGCAGGGTATAGGGTTCAGGGTTTAGGGTGCAGGTGCCTACAGGAGAGGTTTTGAGAGACGCGATCTTGGCACCTTCCGCAGAGGCAAAGGTGGCCCAGGGGCCACACCATCCCAGGCGCTTCTCGGCGTCCCAGAGGCAGCCTTTGTCGGATGGAGGCGTGTTGGCTTCGACTCCGGCTTCCCAGTGCATGATGCGAACAGCTTCCGGCCCACGCTCATGCAGGTTTCGACCGACAAGCTCGCCGAAGCTGTCGAGAAAGTCCTTGAGGGCAACTTTCTTGTAGCCGCCCGTGCCCAACTTCTCGAAGAGATGATAGGAATAGTCGGCCGTTCCGATCAGGGTCCAAAGCTCCCTCTTCGACTCGAAGCGCCCGCCCGCGATCTTCCGGTTGTTGTTGCTGACCCAGGCAAGGCAGCGATTTTCTGCCACGAAGGCGCAGGTGAAGTCCAGCTCCAGCGGCCGCTCAAAAGCCACCATAGCGACCTCGCGAGGCCCAGGGAAAAATTCGAAGCGCCGAGGGCCTGGAGCCACAGAAAGGACCCCTTAGCCGCAGCCGACTCCGAGAACCCCCCCACGGCCAATGCAGCACCTTTAACCAGGTCAGAGCACCCACGGCCGAAAATGTCCAAAGCACCGCCAGCATACCATTTCATGCGCAAAGGGCCCAACAACGCCACAAAAAGCAATGTAGCAAGCATCGCCGACATACGAAATCAACCAGCCAAGCGCGCAGGCAGGCAAAAAACTCAGGATCAGTATGTGATTCCGATCAGAACAGAAACACTCCATGCACAAAAGGCCCTTTAAAAGCCCCAACCCAGTAGAGACCCAGAAGATCACACAAGAAATCTGATGACGTAATCCGAAATCTAGGAACGATCGGGGTCTGGAAGCGGATCTGCTTCAGGTAATCTCTCATCTTTGAAACCTCCCGTCGCTTCAACTGCGTATTCAGCATCGTCTGAGAGTTGAAAGCTCCGCACAAGACCTGATAAGGTCCGAAGCTTTGGCCTTTCTGGTTTCCAAGTACCCATCCAGAAGGCCCGTAATGATAGTCATCCAGCAACAGCGGCTTGTCAGGATACCGGGTTCCAACTTTCGGTGGCCACGAAGTCGCAGTTGTGATCAGCTTGATCTTGCACCTGGCAATGACCTTCGGTAACACGGCATGAACACAACGGAAAGATAGCATCACTTCCGGAAAAAAACCGTGACAAGCCGCCAGCAAACACTCTCTGAACCAATCCAAGCCACTTCTTCTGCGACTTGTTCCTGAAACTGCCACATCCCACGTGTCCCTGCCCAACCTGGTGGCTCTGCGAACCTCTGGAGGCCGTGGGTCTTGCTCAGCACGCTCACCTGACCGTTTTAGGGCTCAGGTCTCGGGGTTTTGGTTTCACATTTCCGCACAACACTTCAAAGTCTGAAGTTTGGGATGTAACGTAGTGTGGGGTTTTAGGGTTAGGGTTTAGGGTTTAGGGTTTAGGGCGACTGCTGGTGCAACCTCGCAGCGTTGGGCTTGTGGCAGAGGCCTTGAGCTTCGTAAGCCTCCATGCGACCTCCTCGGATTGGCCAAAAGTGCCCGACCGGCCCTGAACCCTAAGACGTTAAGAGTGTAGAAAGCACGCTGACGAGATGGTGTTGAACACAACTGCGCATCTTAAACCGATCCCACCGGAAAAATTTGATCAAGTCTCTAAACCAGGGATCACCTGCTGTGATCAGCTGACAGCCGTAATCAAAGAACGCTGCACCAGGGCGGGTATAGACCTCGGTTTCAGTACATGCCGCTTTTGCTGGCACTGCTCTCTTGCTTTCCCCTGGCAGAACGACAAAATAAAAATCCTCAACTCGGGGCTGGGGGCCGTGTTGTGCTCGTGCTCCATCTGAGTGGCAGACAAACGAGACCTTGCACGGAACAAGGTGACATCGAATCCCAGCTCAGCCAACCGTTCGGCGCAGAAGAGGCCAGCGAAGCCACCGCCCACCACGGCTACGCTTGCACCTTCTGTGCTCAAACTGGGCCTCAGGGAGGGTGTCTCCACCTCTTCTTTTTTGCAAGCTGTCTGGGAATCCTCTGCTCCCCCTTGCAATGAGCGCTTCACCCAGCGACGAGGGGCCATGAGCTGCTAACTCCAAAAGTCCCGAGACTCAGTAAAAGAATGAAAAGACTTTCCACCTGTTGCTTTCTCCGAGCAGGCCGCCGCTTTTCAACAGGTGCGTTGGAATGGAGCCAGACTGTTGCGCATGTCGAGGATGGACAAACAACGGCACAACTACTGCTACTGCTACTGGGACTGCTCTACCGCTGAAGCTTGATGGTAGCTGCTAGCTCTGGCAGGCTGCCCGCAGCAGTGAATGCACGCAACATTCGCGCGGGGAGGGCTTTGATGCCGTGCGGGCAGGCTGCCCGCAGCAGTGAATGCACCCAAGATTCTCGAGGGAGGCTTTGCGGCCGCCCGCAGCAGTGAATGCACTCAAGATTCGCGAGGGGAGGGCTTTGAGGCGGGCAGGCTTCCCACAGCAGTGAGTGCACCCAAGATTCGCGAGGGGAGTGGAAAAAGACTGCCGCTACTACCACAACAACCAAAGATTCGTCGTAAGAGTCGTAGTAGCACTCACGATACGCGGTGATGCCGTTAACGGCAGCCATGTTTGAGCAGTCTCTGCTTTGCTCCTGCCCGATCATCGCGACAAGTGTGTGCACCGGCATTGCAGGCAACAGCTTCTGTTAGGTGAAATTGAAACCGGCCGGCGAAACATTCCTTCTGGATATGGCAGCATCCGTTGACTCCGCCCCCACAAGCAAGCGTCGGAGAAGCCGCTTGCATGGCAGGTCATCCTCCACCTGCCCAGCCCCTCGTTTACACCCTTCCCCACACGATTCTACCCCTAGCCTATTGTCTACACCTCTGTACCTCCTTTCACCCCCCAAAAAAACGCCTAGTTTCTTAATGATACGAATGCGCCTTGTGAAGCTCCGCGCCGCCTGTGCCCCTGTCCCTCACTACCTTACCCCTCGCTTAGCCCCGAGTTTTATTGCTAGACGCGGGGCGAATTCGAGTTGTAGAATTATGTATGCCTCAGCATACGTACGGTATTGCATGCCACAGCATGGAATGTCAACAAGCATGAAGTCGACATGCTTTGCTCATTAACCCCCACGCCCCAAAGCAAGCTCGACTATCTCATCGAGAGATATCTCAAAGCGCTTGCCGAGTGCTGAACAACGCTCCCCACGGGACGGGCCATCTGCAATGTTAGCACTTGTGTTCACACGCGCAAGCAAGTTACAGCAAGGTTTTTGCCACAAGTGGAGGCAGCAAAATTGCAAGGCATTCAAACTCAAAAACCGGGTTGCCACGTTCAAGAGTGCATTACGCGAGGCGAACTCACTAAAATACCCAAGCTTAGTTCCGTGCTCATTGATGAGCACACCTCCCAAACCAACCTTGTCACTTTCACATGATGCGTCCATGTAGATGTGCAAAGTGTTCAGCGTATTGGTGCTGATGCAACGAGGCGAACCGAAGTTCACTCGATCCCTGAGGGTCAAGAGAGCCTCCTTGGTGGAGTCGTCCAGAGAGCCGCCACGGAAACACACGAAGCGCGTGAGCTGCAGCCTGCAGTTGCCCTCGCAGTCGCTCTCCATCTTTACGACCAAGAAAATTTTTCTCAAGGATAGAAGATATGCATTCAAACAGCTCTTTGTTGTCTTGCCTCGGTGTTGCACATGAAAATTTTTGCAATGCGGGAAAGAGCCCTCCAAGTTAATTTTCAAACCTAAAACCTCAGCGATACTCTGATAATGATTTTCCTTATCACTTGAAGTAGACCCAAGCAACCTGAAGACCAGGTTGACGCCCAGGTCACAAAGCTTCGCCAACGGTTCAATCTCCGCTGAAACATAATCGTCGAAGTAAGCGCTCATGTGGACCCACAATAAACAGACGAATATTATCCATAGTGCTAAAGACACTCTACAAAATCCATGGACGCTGTGGTGGGCACCAAAATGCAGGAACTTTTGATGAAACAGCCGGGCACCAGGCAGGGCCGGATCATAGATACACAGGCTGTAGCTGTCTTTTCAGCGCCCCTTTCCAAGCTTTATACAGATTCCAGGCTTTTAAAACAAACTGATGCAAAGCACTTGCAATCCTGCTGCAACCGGTACGCAAGTCCCGCAGTAATGCTGTCAGCAGAGTGCAGAGTAATGGTGTCACAGGCGGATGCAGTGGACCACTTTCTAGGGAATTGTCGACGGTTCTGTGCTCGATTTTGCTGTCTTGTATCACTCCGAGCGACGCGTAACAAAGAAGGTACCTTCAAGGCAATGCGAAGCACTTTTCTCTCTGTGCAAGACAGAGCTGAACGACGTTTTGCTTCGTGTGCTTGGGGCGGTTTTTTTTAAAGCTTCCTGCCAGTGGCACTCGTGCTATTTGCTGGTAGTCGGGCGGTCCAGGCGTTTCAACACGATGTTGAAAGTTTTCTGTATCAGGAAGCAATGGTTTGTGATTTAGGGTTAGGGACAAACAACGAACAACAAACAACAAACAGCAAACAACAACCCACAACCACAACCAACAACCAACAACAGCAAACAACAGCCAACAACCAACCACAACCAACAACCAACAACACCAATCAACACCAACAACCAACAACCCCAACAGCCCTCTTGACCATCGACGTTGATTGTGATAGGATCGCAACCTGCAGGCTGACGGCACTGAAGACTTTCTTGAGAAAGAAGGTTCTGCTCAAGATGACAGCGACGCTTGATCGCTCTGGCTTCTGTGAGCAAGAAGAACGAAGAAGGTGGCAGTGCTTTTGTTTGAGAGCCAGTCAAGCAGCCTTGNNCACAGCACAAGCACATTGAGAGGCGCGATTTTGATTAGATAGTGTTTCTTAGGCAAGAAACAGCAATTTTTGCGCGTGTGGCAAATTGAATTTTCAAACAGGAGATCGCGCCGAGAGCTGACAAGAAATTTCATAGAGCATGAAAGAAAAAACGTTTGGTCTTCCACCTTTTTCTGCTGCAGATGCCTGTGGCAACCTTCAAGCCAGGACACGATGCCCGTCCGAGCATCATACGTCGACGCACATCGGACTACGGCGGCACGTGATCCTTCCAAAAAAAGCCCCTCATTTCACATTAGAATCTCATTCGAGTCTGCAAGACTTGGCTGCAAAATGTGCATTGGAAGGGGTTCAGAAGCCAAGCGAACATACATTGAATACAACGTAAAACGCCTTCTCTGACAGACAACAAGAATGAAAAAATGCTTCTTCACACACAACAAGGAGAAAGCCACACGAAACAGCTTTCCGGTGAAAAGCGATGAAAACAAACTAAATACACAATTAAACGCCCTGCTCCACACACAACAAGGAATTCCACACGCAATCGCTTCAGAGAGCTTAAAGCCAAGAAATACAAGAACAATACAAGAAGTTTTCGTTGCACACAACAAGAGAGGGTGAGAACGAAGACGGCTTCAAAAGGGCAAAACGAGGGGCTTCGAAGGATTGCGAAGGGAAACTTCGAAGGTTTTGAAGGCCAGTGTGGACGAAGGGAGCTCTGAAGGCTTCCAAGGGGGAAATGAAGGGGAGAGGCTTGCGAAGGCGAAAGCGGCGCTTCATCCTCCCCTTCGAAGCCTTTAAAAAAAGGCTTTGAAGCCCCCTGGTTCAGGGGCTTTGGACCCTTCAGTGCGAAGGTTTGAAGCCTCTCTTGGACCTTCACCTTGAAGGCTTCACGTTGCACATGTAGCATGGATTTTCGATGCTACAGGCGTAGCATGTCTAGCATGCGAAATTCGACTCTCTGAGCCCTCTCGCTCCGTCTCGAAGCCGCATGCTGCCGAAAACGGATTTTGCAAGCACTTTGAAGCCCCGAAGATCTTTGAGTTCTGCGCCGCCAGAGCGAAGAATCGAGGCCCAAAAGTCAGAATTCCAGGCGGGCCCAAAGCAAACAGAAGTGCATCTGCCACACCACTACCATAGAGAGACTGGACATTGGCAAGTTCTTTGTTCTTGGCTAGCTTCTAAAAAGAGCAGGGTTATTGGCAAGCTTCCGAAAACAGGGGGAGGTGGGGGGCTGCTCTTTTTTTCGACCCCGAAATGTCTTTTTCTAGACCGCGCGATTGGTCCATCTTGTTTTCGGCCGCGGCATGTCTTTTTTTCGACCTCCAACTTTTTTTCAGCCCCGCAATGAGGCCCAGAAAAAGAGCACAATCTTTTTTTCAACCTCTATGCATTATTTTGAGCAGTTCCTCGGCCCCGAAACATC